GGGACAGCGTTGATTTAAGGCAAGTTATATGGGTGTCTATGAACTTGGCAAACAGTGACAGCTAGAACCAAAGCTAAGAGAGCTCCTTTACATTTTATTATTAATTTGAAAAACAGATCGAGCCCTTCATTTATACTAATCGTAAACTATAATATTATATACATCTCCTATCTCTCCATCTATATTAATCCTCCTCATTCTTGCACATCTGCTCCTATACCCTGAATACTATCAACTTACTCTCTATGATAGTTGTAGCATACTTTAATATTAATATCAACACCTCAGACAAAGCTTTAAGAATGCTATATAATCAGTGAACTAAATTTTTTTGGGTGAGATGCACCAATAGGATCTTTAGTATTAGTGTTGAATTTCAAGACAAGGATACTAGAGAACAATTGATAGAACAGAAATCTTATGAAGAAGTCTTGCATATAAATAAAAAATAAGAATTCTTCTTTTATGACCAAATATCCTATATATTCTTATTTCTAGATACGTAGGCATACTTTTCAACCTAGCCTAATAATTAGACCCCTTACAAGACTCTGATTAATGAAAATATTCAAAATGGTACTTCTGATAACACTTTTATGAAAAGCGGATGTAAAAGAAGCAACACGAGAGAAAGTCGATTCGATTACAAAGTTTAGAAGATTCAAATTTCAACGAGCCTTTTTGATATGAAATTTGAATATGCCCTCCATTACTTAGATAGCAAATAGATCTTATGAGTAAGTCATTTTACAATATGAAATAGGAGAAATCAATTATAATAGGGATGTCTGATAGGCATGTCAGTTTAATTAATATTACCATAGAAAACTACCTTAAACATATGGTTGATCTATTGGATGAAGAATTAAATTTAGTTGAAAAAAATTGTTGGAACTTCTCATGCTTTTAATCACAAATTAAGGAACCATCATAGCCTTTCTAGAATAATATTAAACTCATTTAGAAGTAGATTCAGCGATACCTACATTGAGGTTCATAGATTAACTTACTTAGAGAGTTATTTCATTGAATTAAAATAGGACCTTAATACAGCGTTTAAAACCTATTGATTTAAGAAGATTTTTGATCAGAGTAAGAGAATCTATCATCTTTAATTGATAATGATTTACTTATCATGAATATAATACATAATAAACTTTGGATTTATTTAAGAAAATAGATGACTTGGATGGTCAAAAATGCTTTCAATTTTGCTAGATGTTCATTTGAAAAGCAAAAAATTAGCTAATCGATTTATGCAATATTGTATTTTTTAAAGATTCACAAAATCACAAATATAACTTTTCACAATCTTATCATCGGTATTAGGAAGATCTTGGGATGGTTGAGTAAATTATGAATTATATTAATGTAAAAAAATTAACTATAATGAAAATGGAGAAAGATTAAATTTGATTTGAATTATGAGTCTTAGTAGTTTGTGAAAACAAATTTATTGTAGCTGTATGTTTATATACAAATACTTGGCTAATATCAAGGTGACATAAGAGATGACATCGAAATGGATCTTATAAGGACTCTAATTGTATTGCATTAAAATGCTAAGACATTAACAAATAAAAATAATTAGATTGATGTTGGAGAAAGGTGGGAAATATGTTAGATAGATCGTTCAATTAACTAGAGAAATTCGCTTAATTAAGGCAGAAGATATACAACCTTATTTGGCTCAGAATATTAAATTAGACATTTTCAAAGACGAAATCTGTGAAACTTTGCAGGAATAACATGATTAGATTAAGAAACAGCAAAATGCACTTGAAGGTCACATCAATTCAAATAAAAATTAAGATAAGATTATTGATAAAAATTAGTGATAATTAATTTTTTGTAAATGGAAAATAAATGTGAA